GGGGGGTGGGGGCGGGGGGGGGGGGGGGGGGGGGGTGACGACTGGCAACTGGCCAATGCTGTCAGCGCCTGCAGGCAATCTCAGGGGGGGCGCACATGCACCCACGTGCATGCCCTATCTGTCGCCAATGTACAAGTATACTTTTGTCATATTAGAATGAAAATGTCCAGTTTCTTTTTTCTTATTTAGAGTCCCCTCATATTGTGAGGTCCTAAACTGTAGCTTATTAGTAGCTAAAGCCTAAATCCAGCTCTGGCAGTCACATGTTATGGCTTAAAGCTATCTCTGAACTGCATAACTGTGACTTGCCCCTAGAGGGCTAGAGACTGTTAATCTGAGCCCCCTCAGCACACCACAGTGCACCAGTCTTCAACATGTGCAGCGCCTGGGATAGTTTTACTTAAATCATAGCATGCATTAATGTGCAACTACTCAGACAACTTACTAACTTGCAGCAATGCTTCCTTCAATCTAAATAAAACACACCCTAAGTGTAGCATGTAACAAGTCCTTCTATCTGTGGGCAGTAGAATGAGGCAGCGTGCTGCAGATGAGCAAGACTGGAATTGGGAATTGTGGGATTGCTGCTGACAGAATTCCTGCAAAGTGCAAACTACAGAAATAGGCAGGGTCAGTGTAAACCTCGGAGGTAGGGCTAGATTGCCAGTGAGGTTTAAGCTTATACAACTAGGGTTTTATAGTGTAGACAGACAGTTTGAAAGGGACCTTTAGGATGGTCATTCCTAACATTAGTGTACACGTAGCATTGATGTTATAAAAGATAAGTTGACTGCATATCAAACAAACTCGTGAAATGACTCGTATTTAGCAAAAGAGTTAAAAGTAGATTGCCTCAGTTTCTGTTCAAAGCATCAAGGTAGATAAAACAAATTATATCTTTACTGTTGTAGAATGCTAATTTCAGAAAACTATGATTTCAGTTTTGAATGGTTAACCCAATGGTCCTCAAACTTTTTAGACTCAAGATACCACTAAAAAAAAAATGCCAGCTTGTAACTTTCACTTGTATTTTTTACTATAGAAAAATACTAGAGCAACTCTTTTGTTGCAAAGTCAGAAAGTTTTTGATGCTATGCATTGCTGTTTGAAATCTCTGGGTCCATCTTGTGAATGATGTGTAGGTGTTGGCACACCTAACTGTGCTAATATTGTGCAGCACCCTGTGGTACCCTTGAAAAGATATCATGGCCCCCCAGGGTACCACGGCAGTGGGCTAACCCATAAAAATTAGATTCTTTTTAAAGTTTGTCTGACAGGCAAAAATCATGAGAGACCATCAAGCTGAAAAGCAGCTAGCTGAAAAACAGAAAAAGTAGTTTTCAATATTACAGCTTTTTCTGAGTTCCCTTGCCAATTGTTGTGGTTTTACAGTCACATTTTTCATGCTTTTCCAAATATTCTCTCTCTCTCTCTGTGTGAAAGACCTCTTTAAACAAGAGGCATGTGGAAAGCTCACAAAATACTGAGAAGACACAAAATAAGCAAGCTGAAAAAGAGAAAAATATTATTTTCTGCAATATCTTTCAGTTGTAGTGATCTTAGTTATTAATTAAAAAAGGGAAATGTCAACATTTTGAGAGAGAGTATGGTTTTTAGTTGATGGAATACATTGCATATTAGGTAAATTGTGTCTCCCCAATCATATGATGATAAGCGTACATAAACCTGAAGCAGCAATAGAGATAGACTCACACCAAACCAACCACTGTATTCATAACCAGGGCTGGGGTGGCATGTGGAGCTTGGGCTCCTATATTTGATTCTCTTCAGAATCTAAAGCTGGATCAAGTTCCATAATCTCTTGTTGGCTCCTTTCTATTTAACAGGCTTAGTCCACCTTCCTATGATGCGTGAGAAAGGGGGTGGTCTGGGGCTACTGAAATCTAAATCTGGAACAGAAGTACATATGTTCTTTGGACCACCACTAATGTTCAACTGCTGAGTTGCATGAATCTGGATGGATTCTGAGCAGACCAGACTTAAGATCCATCCTATTCTATGTGGAATTTTTTGTCCTGTAATGTGACATGCACTGAATAAAAGCACTGAGTTCACTAATAACAACCAACTCTTCCTGCAGAGCAGGTAGAGTTTCAGGCTCCAGAATTGTACTGTTTTTATGTACATATTTCCCCAAAACCTGCACTCCATCCTTTATTTTTCCAGTATGTTTTCAGTAGGTGATTATCTGCAGACCTCAGAGGATAACCTAGCAGAATAGGAATATTTGGCATAGAGCACAAAGCAGTGAGGCCATTCCTTTGGAGGAAATTACATAATAATTCTGAGTTAAAGAATTTCACATTTCTGTTTCTTGTATAGGTGCCTTGACTGAATAACTTTGAAATGCTGAAACTCCTAGGATCTGAAAAATAAAAGTACTCCACCATTGGAAATAAATGGTGGCTTTAATTGAAAGGAATCAAGTGTATGAGTTACCACTGTTTTCTACCAAGGCTCCATGAAGGGGTCTTTAGGGAAGTGATGCAATGGATCAGATCTAGCACCAATTTTATCTGCTGAGCTCCTGTGAAAATTATAAGTGCTGCACATTCTCAGACATTTCCTTGAGGATCTCTTCATCTGAAAGAGGCCCGGGAGCATTCAAAGGGTAAAATAAGTTTAAGGGACTTTTGAAAAAATAAGTGACATGTAGTGAAAAAATAAACAGGGAAAAGTTCAAGTGCCTTTTGTATACAAATAGGCCTTTGTCAGCTCAGGGTTTCCAATACTTGGGGACTAAAGGTATTAACAGTCTCCATCAAATGAAGCAAGGTAGCCATGCTGGAATGTGCCCTGGTACAGTTGATCCACTTTGTTGGGCAAAATGGCCTTCATCCATTGTCCTATGAAGTTGGGCCCCTGCTGCTCCTAGGAGTAACAAATCCTGCAAGATAACACTTGGAACGTAACTCTGCAAACAAGGGAACCCTGGGTTTCCCTGCTAACAGAGGAGTGCCTAGGAAATCCCTGGGTGATCTTCTACTACTGGAGAAACCCAGGGCTTTCCTGTTTGTAGAGATGTGCACCTGGCAGTTTTCAGATGCAGTTCGGAGGCTGAGACCACTAATCAGCAGATTGTCAGTCCCAGCCCCAGGACTATGCCAGAGTGTCAACAAGCAGCCAGAGAAAATTCCAGATTGGGGAACCTGGGCAAGCACTTCAGGGGCCTGATGTTGAGCACCCTGGAATCCCTCTTCCAGGGGCATGCAGGATCAGGCCCCTGAACCTCCAGAAGCACCTGCCCGAGTGGCTGGAAAATGCAGGCAGTTCAGGACTACTCACGCTTTCCCACCTTAAAGCACAGATATTGGCTGGAAAACAGATGCACAAAATGATGCACTTATATCACAACCACAGATTTGACATTTGTAGCAAGACAAGAGGCATGGACATCAGCTTGCTTGGCCTGTGTGCTACCACAATTTTTTTTTTTTTTTATGGTGGCACAAAGGGGACATCTGTTTCTATCCTAAAAGACTTAACTATCAAAATGTGCAGGATTGTGCTACTTAGCATTGTGAGCTACCTACCTTGGCCATTCACAAATTCTACCTGTTTATGTTTCTACATTATAGCTCAGAGGGCAGAGTCTCCATCTGAGATGCTTCCCACTGGACCAAGGAGTCAGACCTATGTCCCACACATGCCACACTTGACATATAGGGGTACTGTGCAACACTTCAGAATCCAGGTTACAAAACACTTTCCCAGTTCAAATGAGGAGATACAGGAACATCTGAAGTCTGTGTCTGAGGTATAGTGCATCCTTCTTGTCCATTTTCAGCCCTTTTATAAGGAAAAGGATTTGCTCATTTTTAATTAAAGTAGTAAAGGGTTATGATATTTAGATTATTTTTGTCTACCCATTTCACAGAAAACATGTTTCATTGATAACTCTTGAAAGTCTATGTATTTGAATTTAGGTGTAATATATTATTTTCATTGTCCAGAAAGCTTATACCCTGAATAAACTTCAGAATAATCACTGGAACACTATCCACATCTTTCTCAAGAAAACCATTTCTCTGTCTTCAGTAATAAATCTGAAAACTACAGATTGACATTTGCATACCCCAAATCCATCTTTAAGCTATAGATACCTCCCCAGCTTGGGAAGAAAGTCTATTGGCTGACTTTTTAAACAGATGTACTTCTGCTTGGGCAACCTTAAAAAACCCAGACGTGTGTAATTGTACTAACGTGGCTAGTCCCAATGACTACACATCTAAACACATTTACATACATAGTGGTGGGGTCTTAGATTTTTCATATTCACAAGAGAGGGAGAGAAAGAACTTGTGCAGAAAAGTTAATCTGGCAGTATTTCATTTCCTTTTGTTACTTTAACTTCTGTTCTAATCTGGAGTGAAGTATTATCAAGCATTATTTATTCCTTGCCTACTGAGCAAGGAGCCTGATCCAATTGTTTATGCCAGTTCCCTAATTGTCCCTTGTTCTAATTTGCTTGATTATTCAAAGCCCGTACATGAAAAATCTAGTGAGTTTCAATTCAACTTGGCATCAGTTGATACTTCTTAAAGCACCCAAAAGACTCCTACTGGCAGTTGACAAGGTATCACTATTCATTCATAAAAAGCTTCTTTTACCTTGAAAAAAAACAAGGGGCTGGAAGGTGCTTACGTGGTAGCAGGGAGTCTGAAAGAATAATTGCAAAGAATGATGCTATTTGAGGTATATCATTTTATGAAGTATGAGCTTAATTTATTTATGGTATCTGCACATATGCCTTCAAGTCTGAAAATATTTTGACCATTTAATTTAAAGGGCCAAGTAACAAATTTACCCCAGATATGAACTTGGCCCTCTCTACTGTAGCAATGGCATTTCCAACAAGCATGGATAGCTGTCAGAAAATAATTCCTACTAATGGCAAGACCAGAAAACAATCAAATGCTCATGGGCTCATGAAAAGGGGAGACATTTTTAATTTCCTTTTCACACTGAACATTTCAAAAGGAGGAGTTTTTTTGGCTATGGAAAATTGTGGGGGGTTTTCAACTTCTGAATGCCAGCAATATGGAAACTGGAAACTATTTTACACAACCTTACAAGGGAAACTATTTGTTGCTAATCAGGCATAAAAATTAGGCAGTCAAGTTCTTTCTTCATTTACACCCATTCAGCCCCTCTAGAGGAATAATCTACAGGCTCATCATATTCCAAACAATCACTCATTATAATGAGGGCAAAGTCATAAAAGAGCAGGTACATTATCATTAGTGTAATTACAGGGTTGTTTCGGAAAGTAACAGCAACTTCAAAATACAACCATTTTGTGTGCAATGATCATTTGCTGAATTCCATTACTCCTCTATGGAGTCATAATCCCCTCTATGAAGTCACGGTGGCATTTGACAGTACCATCAGTGTTCCCTGCTGCCGTGTGCCTTCCCACTCATTGTACACAAAATGGGTTTATTTCAAACTTGCCCTTACTTTCTGAAATGCCATTCTATATGGCCCCAAAATTACACAAACGAACAAGATCTTAAGTTTGGAGCTCTGAAATCCTGATTTAAGCACTTCAGGGGCAGATTTTCATACCTGCCTAAGTTACTTCGGAGCATAGTTCCCGTTTAACTTAATAGCAGCACAAGTCCCATTGAATCTAAGTCATTTAGGTCTTTTTGAAAATCCCACACCTGTAGGCATCTGAATACACACTTAGGAGCTGAGCTTTGCCCACCTTGGCTCTGCTGGTTTTTGACATGTAGCAATGATGAACTCATAACTAAAAAGAGTTAACATGACAAATTTAATTATTATTACTAACTTGTACTAATATGTACATGTTATAAACTTGAAAATATTAATTATATTGTGCTTGCACTGCTAATAATTCAGTTTTGTATTATACAAAACTGAAAAAATTTTCAGTTTTGTATTATACAAAACTGAAAAAATTTTCAGTTTTGTATAATATGTATGTATGTATGTATAATAAAATATATTTTCAGTTTTGCAGATATATGTGCAAAAAATTTCCGACTACATGAGTTATTGGCTATTACATGCATGCAAAAGTTGAACTAAAGCGTAACTGCACTTGAGTTTCATAACTTAACAGCGAAGTGTACTTGAATGTACCCGGTAGTCTCTAGCTAACATACAACCATGGTTCTCATAGCAGCCATTTTATTTGTTGGTAATGGACTCATTTAGGAATAGATAAATAAATCATGGCAACAATAAAGAACTTATTTTCATACAACAGTGTAAACAATGCCTAAAAAATGAAACAAAAGTGACAGGGAATACTGTTTACATACAGTGTAGGATTGACTTCATTATGAACAGAGGCAAGCCAATGCTGGCTACTATTAGAAGGCAAAAGTGTGTGCATTAGAAAAAATGCTTGTGTGTTTACTATTGTAAAGATGCAAAAATAATGAGAAAAATCTCTGCTATGCCTTTGCGTGTCTATAGAAGTTTTCATATTTCTTTGTAATTAGTTCAAGAAATCTCCACAAAAGGCAACATCAATTATATTTCAACAAGTTTTCCAACTCCATTGAATGAGTTGTAAGGAAATTAAGTAATTTGTTCAAGGTGACTCAAAATCTAGGTTTAAAACCTATGATCCTAATGACTCCTCTAGTCCTTTTCATTAAGCATTCAAGCACATAACAAGAGTTACTTATCACTCTATTGATTTACCATTTGTAAGGTGTGGCATTCATTTTGTATGTAAATATATCTGCATTTCTACTGGCATAGAACCCAATCGACACCTGGCTAATTTCAATCCACCTCAAAGAACCACCAGTAAATCTAACTGAAATAGTCATGGAAAATAGCACTGAAGATGCCTACAGCAAATGAAAGAAATGAGATCATATTTTGGCACTGAATACAATTATGGCTAGAGAGGATATTAGGGCATGGGTCAATACAACAGACTCCCTCACTTCTGAGCTTTTAAAAAGGTTGTCATTTGTTACCATTACAAGTGCTTTCATGGCTGATTAGAACACCTATCCACCTCCAGTTAGGAAGCCCTTGACCTAGGAGCTGATAAGTTTACTTGAAAGTATACTTGTATCATGTTGAACATTTGTATGTTGCAACAGTAGCTAAAATGGGATCAAGTCAGATTGCGAATGAACAGCTGAAACATTTTGCTAAAACAACACAGGTATTAGAATTATCCCTTTTGCACTCTCTCTCTCAGAGATGCATTTTCTATCCCTCTTGTAATTTGGGGACACACATTTACTACTAAACTAGAATGGATTTGTCACGTATAATTTATGAATAATGCCTTTGTGGACACATTGAGACAGATTAATCCCTCTATATAATTTTGATTACATTCTAAGCAAGGTACAGAATATAAATATTCATAAAATGTTCTAGGAGGTTTTCTATTTTGGTGATTTCAATACATGCTTATTTTTCATTCTATGGAGACTGTATTACTATAGATTAATTATAAAATAATTTTACCTCTTTAGCTTGATGTCCAGAGGGGGCCAGAATTCCTCGGGAGAAAATAATGAAAAGATGAAAGTCACGATAAAGAGTTTTAATAGTTAATTTGCTCATGATATGCTAATATGATGAGCATGAACATTTTCATACTAAGCAGGTCATATAATATCAATTTGTATGTTTGTCACTAGGATAATATGAATGCAACTAACAAGATACATTTATAATATGGTAAAAAAAACAACAAAAAACATCTCCTTCAGCATAGTGAATGCCTGTCAGGTTGATACTATGTTTGCAATAGGGTAGAGGGGAGATTTGTGTTCTATTACATTTCAAAGTTAATGGATCATTAAGTCACAGCTAATATTTTAAAAATACTTATTTTAGGCATGTTGGGATACATGACTTGTGTGCCTAAGTATCACTGACTTTTAGTAGGACTTAGGTGCCTCAGGCACCGAACCAGTTTTGAAAATGTTAACATTTATCTCTAATAGACGGCTAGTTATTGGTACTTTTCAAAGTCCTTCAAACACAGAGATACTGATCTAGTTTCAGTGGAAGTTGGAGTTGCTCCTTTGAGAGGAAGCTTGCAGTTGTAAAGCATTGATAAAAATCACTTCTGTTCTCCATAAGCAGTGGAGATTGACTGGTATAAGCACATTAATTTACTTCAATTCAGTATATGTCAATGGCAAACAACCATTCTAGATAAAGCTGTATTCCATGAAGTATACATAAAATCAATAGTTTGGTAGTAAATTCAAGCTTTAAATTAGAGCTTTCCATTTGTATGAACTATCCTCACAGAAAATGTATCCAAAATTAGTGTGTGTCTATATTTTTTTTATGACATGGATATAGTAACATGGTCATGTCAGGCTCCCTCAATTTGGATGCCAGCGAGTGCTGTATTGAGATACTACTACTTCTAGTGACCTCATTAGTTGTAATAAAGAGACCATAACCTCCAGTTCTTAGTAACATGGATTCTTCAAAGTTTATCATTCACAAACAACACTAAATACTTACATCATGCCCTATTCAGGCATGGGGTTTTTTTGCTGCAAAATGCATGCAGTGTACAGGAAAAGGTTCTCCAGGCTACATATTGGCAGTGTGGAGCCCAAATTAGATACCAGGAAATCCTGCTAAGTTAAAAAAAAAAAAAAAATGGGGGGGGGAGGGGAGTGGCATATGTGGCTGCAGCATGTATCACCCAAAACTGAAGCCTGGCCAGCCAGAGCCATATTCAAAGTTGCAGGCCAGGCTGTGTGTACCTGGATCGCCACCACTGTAGCCCTAAGAGGCCCCCAGGACCACAAGTAAGATTACTGGGGCCAGCCCAGGTGCTGGCCTCAGCCTCCCCTACCCCACCTGGGGCAATTTGCTGTGCACTACAGTGCACGTGCAGGGGCATTCCTTGGGGGCAACTAGTTTTCCCCAGGAAATGCCCCCGAATGCGATTTGTCCCCAGAGAAACGCATGTGCTCGCTCATTGGGACATGCCCACAAAGAGCATAATTCAGCATTGGCTATTCAAGGCTATGTGATAGGAGGAGTTACTTGGAGACAAATAAGAAGAGAAAGGAAGTAGGTGGGAAGAGAAAAATTTAGAAGACCAGATCACCTTCTGAGGCCAATTAGCACAGATCCATTCAAATCAAAAGTAGTATACTCTATTAAAGTAGCTGAAGGTCTAGCTTACAGTTTGCAGATGAACATTCAAAAGTCTAAGGTGTTACAAGTAATGGACAATAACGCCCCACCACAAGATTAGAAAAACAAGAAAATATTTTAATAAATGGAGTTCATCTGAGATGAATCACACTAAGATAAAAGGAATCAGAACTCATGGTAGAGGTGATATCTTTTATTAGATCAACTAGATTTTTGCAAAAAAAAAGTTTTTAGTTGCAAGCTTTAGGGCACAAATACCCTTCTCCAGGCATAGGGGATAAGACTGTAAAAGTTCTCCTAGGTAAAAATGAAAAGTTCATATTTCATAGGAGAGCTGAAGGTGTGGTAAAACGTTCTGTTTGGAACAGTTCGTTTTATGCAGATTAGGCTCAGAAAAGTTGGAATAGTCTGTTTACCTCAAAGTTGTTTGGTGGTTAGCAGGAGTTTGCCTATATAAAATGACATTCATTTCAGAAAAACTGCATTTTAAACATTTTTTCTATTGGAGTGAGTAGATGACAGAATTTTAAAAAGGAAGAATTCGCCTTATATTATTGTTCAGCAGAAACCTGATCCAAAGCCCACTAAAGTCATTAGGAACACATTTATCATCTTCAATCAGTTTTGGATTGGGCACTGGCTACAGAAACAGCAGAACATAAAATAAAGCAGGAGATGAAGTAGGTGTCCATAACTGACATGCTACAAATATGAAAGTGTTTTGCATCCAACAGTGGGGCCCTGCAGAGTACTTTACATTATGGCATGGTTAAGATCAGCTACATTTTTAACACAGTCAAACACAAAGGCAAACTAGATATCATTATACAGGGAACGGGCTCTATAAATAGGGAGAAACAGTTCTAGAGTCATTGATCATCCATGTAGTTAAGTCCATAGAAACCACATTTTTCTCTCCAGGGATTTTAGCTATTGCTTTGCCCTGGGGTTCTAATTTATACCTGTACAAAGTCCAGGTAAAAATGTATATGCTAGGCTGAATATGCAGAGTTAACAGATAAACTAACAGCCCACTCTTTAACCTGAGAACAGTTAACCTGGAAAAAGCCGAGACAAAAAAAGGAACTTCGTATTTTTCAGAGTAGAAGTACAAGCAAAGATATTTTTTTCCTGGTGGACAAAGTGCCAGAGCCAAAAAGCACTAGGTGCCTCGAGTACAATTTATGCGCCTAAGTCCAAGACAGTTCCACAAAACCCTCTCACCTTATCACCTCAGTGACCAAAGGCATTTTTGCAAGTGCTCCAGGGTTGGGCAGTTCATTGAGAGCACCTGGAGTGCCGTGTATCAGCATCTGCATCCTTCAAAATGGCAGTAGGGGCATGTTATCTAAAGCTCATTGAATGATTCATCAACTCTGCACTGTAATTACAGCTTGTCAGAGCATCGGAACAGATGCCAAACTGGTGTAGAGGCAGCCAGCACAAGAGTTTGAAGACCCCTATGCTTTTGCCAACACAGAGTTTGTGTCTTTTATTTACTTAAATGTTTTAATAGTCTAAGTTACTTAAATGTCTAAAATTCTGCTAAGTGTGTCCAGAATTGCTGCCATCTTGACAGACATCAAAATACTCATCCCTATCTCATGCCTTAAGGCTATTTAGGTACCTTTATCCCCAGAGGGATCTAAACTGCTCATTCCACACTTAATACCACCTGATAAAAGCACAGTATCCAGGACCACTTTCACAAAGAAAATATAGCATCTACTGATGCCACTGCCTACCTTTTTCATAGCAACCTCATGCTTAGGGGCACTCCCTTGGGAGGCAGAGAAGGAGGGAATCCTACATTTTTGTCCCTGGACCTAGGACTGCTATGCATTTAACATTAGTTTCATTGGGTGAAATGCATAAGGAAAATTGAACCATGGTCTCCCACCTCTAAAAAAGCTCTCATCATGAAGTAAGAGCAGTGGGTGGTAACCTGGACTACAGACAGACATTACACATAAACTGGTTTAAGTGATCAGAAACTCGTTTAAACCTGTAACAGAACAGATGTTTAACGCACATAAACCAGTTTGAAAATGGCTGAAACTGGTTTGAGATACTACATTCAGCCAGGTGTATCAGATTTAACTGATCTGGGTCAAACCAGTTTACGCAATGTTTGTCCCAGACCTCTTCCTGGTTTAAGTTTAATCAGAATCCCCCAGCATCCCAGCATGTTCTCTGGGTGGGGTTCTGCCCTCAAGAGCGGGGCTGGCCCCTTCCCTTTGCTTGCTGGCTGCAGCTCCAGCAGAGACTGCATGTACAGTGGGGTCTACCTCATTTCCTCCTGCTCCTCCCCAACTCCTCCTCACCACTCCCTGCTGAAGCGAGTGGTTCCCCCTCCCTCTGCCTTACACAGACACCTCTCAGCATTCGCTAACATACCACATGCTGGCTATGTCAATGCTGTGGGAGATGGGACAAAGGTGGACAGGACTGTGCCAGCTTAGGGTTTTTTGGAGCTAATCAACAGGTAGCTGGTAATGTCCCTCCATTCTTTCCTTGGAAAAAGTTGTTTAAGAAGAGCTTGAACTAATGGAGAGAGGCTGTTGTTTTCTTAATGAGAGTTAGGGGTGATAAACAGTGTGTTATCAACTCCCTGCTGGTCTGCTCAGGAGGGGGATAGGGGGGCTCCCTAATCAAAGCATCCTGCTGGGTTCTGGCCACAACCCCCCCTCAGCTCAGCACTGAAAAAAGAAGGGAGGGCTGCTCTGGCACCACCTGGCTTCTAGCCTGAGCCACTGCAGGCACATGCCAGCATTTTTTCAGTCCAGAGGGGATGTCTGTACGGTAAGAAACCGGTTTAGCCTACCCAAGTTAGACTAACCTGCAAAGGTTGAATCAATTCAGGCTCAGGCTTTTTGAATGCCTGTCCCTAACCCTAAATCCCACAGGCTGGATCCCAACAGGAAGTTGGATCCATCCTGAGAAGGTCTAATCCAGCCTGGGGCAGCACAGGGGACCCTATCTGCACTGCAACACAGAGTTCTGGAGCCCTCCTTTCTGCTTTCTCATGCCTGCACTTATCCTTGCTGCAAAGGCTGCTTGAGCTTTTTGTAGCAAGTGGGAGGGAAGGGGTGGAGATTTTCAGCCTGTAGCAGAGGACTGGGTCACACAGTCTAGCTTATGGAGGAAAAAGGTTGCTGATCCCTAGGCTACAATATCATGTGCAATCATTCTTTCCCTGGCTCCATTAATTTTGCATTCTTGGCTTCATGGGGGCCAACTTTCAACTGCTGGACATGCATGTCCCCGTGTAGATCTGGCCCAAAGAGTGCATATGCACATGCAGCAAGGTTGCTGTGACATGCTGTAATTACAGCGCTTTGGAGCAGACCCAATTAATTAAGTTTGC